TCAAATATCATTTAATTGCAAACAACTATGGATTGTGACGTAGGGTTACCGTTTTCTGAGATAATACATCTTTCTAAACACGTTAACAGTATACCACAACAAGCAGTACTTACCTTGCAATCAAACTTACTAAAAACAATATTTTTTGGCGAAATCTGAAGTCAACACAAATTACGATTTTTATTCGGAAAAATATAGCCGATTTTTATTTCTGAATGTTGGCGTCTTGCTTAATAGTGTTGCAATTTATGAAAATGGCAAAAATTACCAAATCACATAAAGGAAACTGGTAGCAACAAACGTTACATTCATGACGTTACACACTCATCATAAAATTGGACACTTTTTTAAAAACGATTAAATATGTAACTGAAACGCTATTTTAATAAGCACGTTTAGAAACACATTGAGAAAGTATCATAAAGCATGAGTACAATTTAATAATTAGAAAAAAAACTCCTTTTTTTTCGGAGTTATTGGCAATTTTTGATACAAAGGTTGTAGTTGGACAAACGATTTTTGTATGGGAGTGAAAGCAGTACTTTTCAAATTATTTTAGGGATGGTAGGTTACATTTCGTCAAAATAATCTAAACAGAAGCTCGTCATTCAGAACAATTTTCAACAAATGACATTTATAAAATAACTTCGAAATTATGAGAAAAATAAAATGGGGACAAAACGAAAACGATATTTGTACAATTTTTTGCGACCATACCCAGCTACTTTTACAAAAGCTTTCAAGCCTTTATCATAACGTTTTAATCTAGAATCCGCCGCAACTGTCACCGATGTTGAAGATGCCTGTTCAAAAATCTTATTTACTTGGTTTATGTTTCTATCCGCACTGGGCCCGCGTGGTGGGTCATAGCCCAATCTCCCTATTCCATCCATAGGAAAGGCCTGTGCCCCAGCAGTGGGGACATTAAGAGGCTGATGATGATGATGATGATGATGTTTCTAGTCCGTCTTTGAAAGTCCAGTGGGCACAATGTTCTTGATAGGAGGTCGAATAGGTCCTGCCATGTTGATAAGACTCAATAATGAAGGTTCAGTTGGTACTACACCAGATCAAAAATGTAGCACTCGCGAAAGACCATAAACACATACGTAAATCCCCATACGAACTAAACCAAATGAACAATTGTAACAACAGAAGGTGCCTGACCCAAAGTTCGCAAACTTCCCTAACATGGAGGCCTACATCTTGTACGCAGAAACACGGAACTTTCATCCAAAATAGCCCTTATACCAACCGCTTAAAGTTGAAACTGTTCATTGTGTGTAACAAAGATGTTGGAAAGTTTTAACATAACTCTCGTACGAAATATCTTGTCGAAGTTACAACTAAAAAAGGTCCAAAGACATGCGTGACCCGAAGACCTAAGTTGTTAGCGAACTCGTTCCTAAAATACGGGGAAAACAACGAGTGTGCTTATGACCACATGACTGAAGTGAAACTTCTTTAGCTCCATCTATATATACAGGGTTACAGGGAAAGTCGTACTGAATATTGAAGGACGTTATTATTCAGGTCATTTCTGATGGATTTGGCCCTATAATATGGTGTCCGAAACTTAACCGTTATGGAGATTTTGGATATTAAAGATTTTTTTAAAAAATCCTATATTTTTTGGGTTATTGTCGATTTTTTTGAAATTCGAGCTCCAAAGGTCCGATTTTTTAATGTATCTAGTTAGAAGACATGTCAAGCAATAAAAATAATGAATAATAAAATGATGTGGTGTCGTGGGACACCAGGTAGGAACGAAGTTCCTTCGGCTAATGTAGAATCGACACAAATTGCAAACTCGCTTGTGTATGCGACTGTCGCGCCTGCGCACGTCTCATTTAACGGTTTTATTCCACGCACTTTTTTCCACGAATTTTTTCTTACGGTTTTACCATCACATTTTCACATTTTTTTCAGTTCGATCAGCTAGTGTTCGTAAAGATTGCTAGGCAGGACTGGCCCACAGATTATAATAAACTACAATGTCACAATAATCCAGTAATGCAGCCCCGTCGCTCTGCCACCCCCTGGACTTAAGCACAGTTTAGTATAATATACGACAATAATCCAGTGTTGGTATAATGCCACAATAATTTGGGGTTGCAACCCCGTCGCTCTGTCACCCCCTGTTAAGTACTGACTTTGTTATCATGTCTAGCTTAAGTTTACAGCAGATGATAGGCGTTCCTGGTCCACAGCTCGGTATAACGTCACAAATATCCAGATTTCGTGTAATGTCACAATATTCCAGTGCTGCACCCTCGTAGCTGTGCCACCCCGTACATACGCACCTTAATATCATGTCCCGGTAGCGTTCGTAAAGGATGCTAGGCAGGACTGGCCCACAGTTTAGAATAAACTACAATGTCACAATAATCCAGTGATGCACCCCCGTCGCTCTGCCACCTCCTGATAAGTACTCACCTTGTTATCATAATCATGTCTCACAGGCGTTACTGGTCCACAGCTTGATATAACTTCACACATATTCAGTGTTGGTGTAATATCACAATATTTCAGTGATGCACCCTCGTCGCTCTACCACCCCCTATAACTTCACACATATTCACTGTTGGTGTAATATCACAATATTTCAGTGATGCACCCACGTCGCTCTACCACCCCCTATAACTTCACACATATTCACTGTTGGTGTAGTATCACAATATTTCAGTGATGCACCCTCGTCGCTCTACCACCCCCTATAACTTCACACATATTCAGTGTTGGTGTAATATCACAATATTTCAGTGATGCACCCTCGTTGCTCTACCACCCCCTATAACTTCACACATATTCACTGTTGGTGTAATATAACAATATTTCAGTGATGCACCCTCGTCGCTCTACCACCCCCTATAACTTCACACATATTCAGTGTTGGTGTAATATCACAATATTTCAGTGATGCACCCTCGTCGCTCTACCACCCCCTATAACTTCACACATATTCAGTGTTGGTGTAGTATCACAATATTTCAGTGATGCACCCTCGTCGCTCTACCACCCCCTATAACTTCACACATATTCAGTGTTGGTGTAATATCACAATATTTCAGTGATGCACCCTTATCGCTCTACCACCCCCTATAACTTCACACATATTCAGTGTTGGTGTAATATTACAATATTTCAGTGATGCACCCTTAGCGCTCTACCAACCCCTATAACTTCACACATATTCAGTGTTGGTGTAATATCACAATATTTCAGTGATGCACCCTCGTCGCTCTACCACCCCCTATAACTTCACACATATTCAGTGTTGGTGTAATATCACAATATTTCAGTGATGCACCCTCGTCGCTCTACCACCCCCTATAACTTCACACATATTCACTGTTGGTGTAATATCACAATATTTCAGTGATGCACCCTCGTCGCTCTACCACCCCCTATAACTTCACACATATTCAGTGTTGGTGTAATATCACAATATTTCAGTGATGCACCCTCGTCGCTCTACCACCCCCTATAACTTCACACATATTCAGTGTTGGTGTAGTATCACAATATTTCAGTGGTGCACCCTCGTCGCTCTACCACCCCCTATAACTTCACACATATTCAGTGTTGGTGTAATATGACAATATTTCAGTGATGCACCCTCGTCGCTCTACCACCCCCTATGCGCACGTCTCATTTAATGGTTTTATTCCACGCATTTTTTCTTACGGTTTTACTATCACATTTTTTTCAGTTCGGTCGCGCAGCAAAATCCCTATCCTCTCCAAGTCTGCCGTAAGGAACTTCGTCGCGCCTGCGCACGTCTCATTTAACGGTTTTATTCCACGCATTTTTTCTTACGGTTTTACTATCACATTTTTTTCAGTTCGGTCGCGCAGCAAAATCCCTATCCAAGCCTGCCATAAGGAACTTTCGTTCCAAAAACTGAACCTACTTCTAACGGCTTAAAAAAACTGCTCCACAACGGTTAAATAACTAAAGAATTTTCACCAAGTGTCCTTAACTTTCAAAGTTAAGGACACTTGGTGAAAATTCTTTCACTTTCAAAGTTAAGGACACTTGGTGAAAATTCTTTAGTTATTTAACCGTTGTGGAGCAGTTTTTTTAAGCCGTTAGAAGTAGGTTCAGTTTTTATTCATTATTTTTATTGCTTGACATGTCTTCTAACTAGATACATTAAAAATTCGGACCTTTGGAGCTCTAGTTTCAAAAAAATCGACAATAACCCAATAAATATAGGATTTTTTTAAAAAATCTTTAATATCCAAAATCTTCATAACGGTTAAGTTTCGGACACCATATTATAGGACCAACTCCATCAGAAATGACCTGAATAATAACGTCCTTCAATATTCAGTACGACTTTCCCTGTAACCCTGTATATATATTTATATGTATACTGGCATGTACATATACATAATTCATTTACTAGCTATAAGAGAAAGAGAGAAAGAAAATGTGCGCGCGCACTGCTTTCTCTTGCTTATATCCCCTTAACTCCCGTTCGCCTCGACCGAACACACTTATCGTAACGCGCAAGGAATTCGCCAGCTTACCCCCTAAGTCAAGCGTACGTAAAGAAGTTTCACTTCAATTATGTTTTTTTTCTGTAGGCTCATATTTTTTGATAAGAGAGTTAGTAGTTCAATATATGATAGATTGTAGCTGAGATACATAAAAATGTATATCTTTATCTCAATTAATTTGAAAATGCAAGTCTCTGGTCATAGGACTGTCGATGAGTCATAACTGGGACACAAAACTCGTTGCCTTGTGAAAGCAGGGTAGTTTTATACTTTATATGTGTTGTTTACATCAACAATGTTCGATTTTGGATGAGCAATATGCTCACTAGCGCCACCCGTTGTTCGCAGTGGAGCTGGTTGTGTTTCACCGCCGTGGAGATAGTTGTGACACCGCAATGCAGCTGGTTGTGACACCGCAGTGAAGCTAGTTGTGAGACCGCAGTGGAGCTGGTTGTGACACCGCAGTGGAGCTGGTTGTGAAACACCGTAGTGGAGCTAGTTGTGACACCGCCGTGGAGCTGGTTGTGAAACACCGCCGTGGAGCTCGTTGTGACACCGCCGTGGAGCTGGTTGTGACACCGCGGTGGAGCTTGTTGTGACACCACAGTGGAGCTGGTTGTGCAACACCCCCGTGGAGCTAGTTGTGACACCACCGCGAAGCTGTTTGTGACTCCGCGATGGAGCTGGTTGAGACACCGCAGTGGAGGTGGTTGTGAAACACCATGGTGAAGATAGTTGTGACATCGCAGTGGAGCTGGTTGTGACACCGCAGTGGAGCTGGTTGTGACACCGCAGTGAAGCTGGTTGTGAAACACCGCGTGGAGCTAGTTGTAACACCACCGTGGAGCTAGTTGTGACACCGCGGTGGAGCTTGTTGTGACATCGCAGTGGAGTTGGTTGTGCAACACCGCCGTGGAGCTAGTTGTGACACCGCCGCGAAGCTGTTTGTGACACCGCGGTGGAGCTGGTTGAGACACCGCAGTGGAGCTGGTTGTGAAACACCGTGGTGAAGATAGTTGTGACATCGCAGTGGAGCTGGTTGTGACACCGCGGTGGAGCTGGTTGTGACACCGCGGTGGAGCTGGTTGTGACACCGCAGTGGAGCTGGTTGTGAAACACCGCCGTGGAGCTAGTTGTAACACCACCGTGGAGCTGGTTGTGACACCGCCGTGGAGCTGGTTGTGACACCGCAGTGGTGCTGGCTGTGAAACACCGTGCAGCTAGTTAGAAAATAGAAAAACACATAAAATTAAGTAGATGTACTTCAAAATACATTCCGGTATTTTCTTAGTTTTTTTTTTTAATTTTCTGTTAATTGTTACTTCTCCAAAGTTTTCTCCAAATATATAGAGCTGCTCCCTTTCCGCAGATATTAGTAGCATCTGCAAAAGTAAAATCATGTAACAATAGTTATAAGCACATGTAAGTAGTAAATGCAATCCTTTTTTATCATCGAAATTTAGGGAAAATTAACTATAATATTGTTAACGCCATCTATTCTTCGGCGAGAGTATCTACAATCGGTCCATCATCATCGTCCATTCATACATTCTACATTCACTCATTTTGATTTATATACATTCACTCTCCCTCTTGCAATTCGAATTCAAAAAAGACAACATACGCACATAATTTCAATAAAATCGGTATTTACTATGAATAATATTCTACAATCTGAATATCCGATTTTTATTGAGAAATCCACATTTAGAAGACACTAAGCTATCGAAATAAAATGATGTGGTGTCGTGGGACACCAGGTAGGAACGAAGTTCCTTCGGCTAATGTAGAATCGACACAAATTGCAAACTCGCTTGTGTATGCGACTGTCGCGCCTGCGCACGTCTCATTTAACGGTTTTATTCCACGCACTTTTTTCCACGAATTTTTTCTTACGGTTTTACCATCACATTTTCACATTTTTTTCAGTTCGGTCAGCTAGTGTTCGTAAAGATTGCTAGGCAGGACTGGCCCACAGATTATAATAAACTACAATGTCACAATAATCCAGTAATGCAGCCCCGTCGCTCTGCCACCCCCTGGACTTAAGCACAGTTTAGTATAATATACGACAATAATCCAGTGTTGGTATAATGCCACAATAATTTGGGGTTGCAACCCCGTCGCTCTGTCACCCCCTGTTAAGTACTGACTTTGTTATCATGTCTAGCTTAAGTTTACAGCAGATGATAGGCGTTCCTGGTCCACAGCTCGGTATAACGTCACAAATATCCAGATTTCGTGTAATGTCACAATATTCCAGTGCTGCACCCTCGTAGCTGTGCCACCCCGTACATACGCACCTTAATATCATGTCCCGGTAGCGTTCGTAAAGGATGCTAGGCAGGACTGGCCCACAGTTTAGAATAAACTACAATGTCACAATAATCCAGTGATGCACCCCCGTCGCTCTGCCACCTCCTGATAAGTACTCACCTTGTTATCATAATCATGTCTCACAGGCGTTACTGGTCCACAGCTTGATATAACTTCACACATATTCAGTGTTGGTGTAATATCACAATATTTCAGTGATGCACCCTCGTCGCTCTACCACCCCCTATAACTTCACACATATTCACTGTTGGTGTAATATCACAATATTTCAGTGATGCACCCACGTCGCTCTACCACCCCCTATAACTTCACACATATTCACTGTTGGTGTAGTATCACAATATTTCAGTGATGCACCCTCGTCGCTCTACCACCCCCTATAACTTCACACATATTCAGTGTTGGTGTAATATCACAATATTTCAGTGATGCACCCTCGTTGCTCTACCACCCCCTATAACTTCACACATATTCACTGTTGGTGTAATATAACAATATTTCAGTGATGCACCCTCGTCGCTCTACCACCCCCTATAACTTCACACATATTCAGTGTTGGTGTAATATCACAATATTTCAGTGATGCACCCTCGTCGCTCTACCACCCCCTATAACTTCACACATATTCAGTGTTGGTGTAGTATCACAATATTTCAGTGATGCACCCTCGTCGCTCTACCACCCCCTATAACTTCACACATATTCAGTGTTGGTGTAATATCACAATATTTCAGTGATGCACCCTTATCGCTCTACCACCCCCTATAACTTCACACATATTCAGTGTTGGTGTAATATTACAATATTTCAGTGATGCACCCTTAGCGCTCTACCAACCCCTATAACTTCACACATATTCAGTGTTGGTGTAATATCACAATATTTCAGTGATGCACCCTCGTCGCTCTACCACCCCCTATAACTTCACACATATTCAGTGTTGGTGTAATATCACAATTTTTCAGTGATGCACCCTCGTCGCTCTACCACCCCCTATAACTTCACACATATTCACTGTTGGTGTAATATCACAATATTTCAGTGATGCACCCTCGTCGCTCTACCACCCCCTATAACTTCACACATATTCAGTGTTGGTGTAATATCACAATATTTCAGTGATGCACCCTCGTCGCTCTACCACCCCCTATAACTTCACACATATTCAGTGTTGGTGTAGTATCACAATATTTCAGTGATGCACCCTCGTCGCTCTACCACCCCCTATAACTTCACACATATTCAGTGTTGGTGTAGTATCACAATATTTCAGTGATGCACCCTCGTCGCTCTACCACCCCCTATAACTTCACACATATTCAGTGTTGGTGTAATATCACAATATTTCAGTGATGCACCCTTATCGCTCTACCACCCCCTATAACTTCACACATATTCAGTGTTGGTGTAATATTACAATATTTCAGTGATGCACCCTTAGCGCTCTACCAACCCCTATAACTTCACACATATTCAGTGTTGGTGTAATATGACAATATTTCAGTGATGCACCCTCGTCGCTCTACCACCCCCTATAACTTCACACATATTCAGTGTTGGTGTAATAGCACAATATTTCAGTGATGCACCCTCGTCGCTCTACCACCCCCTATGCGCACGTCTCATTTAATGGTTTTATTCCACGCATTTTTTCTTACGGTTTTACTATCACATTTTTTTCAGTTCGGTCGCGCAGCAAAATCCCTATCCTCTCCAAGTCTGCCGTAAGGAACTTCGTCGCGCCTGCGCACGTCTCATTTAACGGTTTTATTCCACGCATTTTTTCCTACGGTTTTACTATCACATTTTTTTCAGTTCGGTCGCGCAGCAAAATCCCTATCCAAGCCTGCCATAAGGAACTTTCGTTCCAAAAATATATATGTTTATAGTACGACTTCTTTACATGTGTAAACAAATCTTTATATTTTTGCCGTGTGTCGTCACACGACTTTGTAACACACTCAACACACTAATTTGTAATACACGATAATAAACGCACGTGGAAAAAAACCGTCAACTTCATGTAGATTCTTCAAATGTAAAGAAAAGCAGTTTAAAAGAGCTTTACATTATACATAGTTGATTTCCACACACAAAATACAAAACAAGCTCATTTCTTACCTTGCTATGTTAAATTCTTTCCCGAAAGTTTATAAAATCCAATGACCAAAAAGTTGAAGCACGCGCAAGTTGAAGCTTTTTACATGAAAACTAATATGGCTGACGTAAAACTCTAAATATCAAAGAAAAATCTAAATGTTGCCTTTGCAAAAGAACAATTCCTAGTGTTTATATTGCATGAAATAAAAAACTTACCACATAGCAAACTTACATAACACACGTGAAGTTTATTTAGGGACATTTTCAAAATAAGCTCATTCTCTGTTTTTTTTTTTACTTTTTTCTTTAATTTATCATTGATATAGAAAGTATACCTTTCGTATTAAACATAAAATACATATTGTTAAAGATACAACACATGCGATGTGAAAGAAATTTAAACTTATTTTTTTTAAATGGACATGTATTTTTATAGGTAACATCGGCTTTATTTTTAGTAAATTGTATAGATTCAATTATTAAAACGATGTTTGTATACAACTAAATAATAGATTTGTCCTAGGTACCAAAGCTCTTTATTGTGATACTCAAGGAAATAAAATATGTTTTCCAACATCTTTTTTGCTAAAGTACAAAGTTTGTGAGCCTTAACCATATTTGGGCGATTAGAATGTTTATTATAGATATATTATACGTAATGTAACTACTTAACAGATATTTTTTCTTGACAGTACCCAATTAATGTCAAAAATATCTCAGACGGAATCACGGTAGGAGCTTACAAAAAAAATATAACATCACGTCGCCGTGAAAAGCTGACTACCCTTCCAACTCCGCGTAACTACGTGGGTGGACCGCTCAAGGGCGGGAAAACGTATATATTTGGCGAAATTATAGAGCTCCGAAAAGATTTGCGGGCTAAAAGATGAAGGCGCTGAAGAAAAATGCTTTTACTATTTTTGTTTTTCTTTTAACAACATAACGTTCTGGCGGGGTAAGGCCCTGCGCAGACTGGGACGGCATGGCGGTAATAGGATTGAATTCTGATGTTTCAAAATCGATCACGCTGCATTAAAAGGGATTTCTTGTCAATGCACGCTAAGGGATGCTGCGGAGGAATAAGACAGCACGCCGAAGGATGCCGTGACATATATAATAATAAATGATAATAATTTCCATCACACACCAATTAGCCTAGCCCCAAAGTAATCACTATAAGGCTTGTGTTATGTGATGCTAGGGTAACGGATAGAATACATATACTGTACATATATAAGTATATTTATATAGAAATACATATTAAACATCCATGACTGGAGTAAAAATGTTCATGTTCATCACACAAACATCTGCCCCCACCGGGATTCGAACCCGGGACCTCTCGAGTCCGCTACACCATGAAACCCGGCGTACAAACCACTCGGCCACGGTGGTCGTCAAACATCCACATAATATATTGGTTAAATCTGATAATGAGTACTTTCGGAGACAAACTATGGAACTTCCTATTTACATCTGGTACCTGCTCAAATCGTGTGCGGTTATTTTTAGAAATATCATTGAGATAATGTAGGCCGGATACCTACTTGCAGTCGTAACTTGACATGCAATATCCCGCGGGGTGCCTCATCCCCACTTCTACTAAAGACCGCATATAAGTGCACCCGCTTGTGCCAAGCCTATGAAGCAATACTACATAAGCGTCTGATACGCATCCAAACGTCGATTATTATTAAACTTTTAAGTTGACGTGAAAAAAAAGAGCCGTTTATTTTGCTTAGCTACAGTGAGATGCTATAATTTGAGACCCATTTCATTGATGTGGACTGAACATTCGCATTGCATTAAGGCCACATTGCATTAATCTCCGAACGAAAATAGCGATGAAACGTCAAGTCAAAGTCTTTTCGAATTTATTGACATTTCTGAATATTCACCTCCTTTCGAAAGTTATTATTTCGTTATATTAATTTTTTCATTCTGAACGTTCTGTCAGTGTCGCACAAGAAAATCATATTGACAAACTAAGAAAACGTAATCAATTCATTACTTCTCTGAAATCCTTATCAAAATTGACACAAATTAATTTTAACTTAATTCCATTTTTGACATAGGTATTTTTTATACACGATACATTTAACATAATCAGAAAGAACAAATTAAATAGTATGTTGATTGATCAGGAATCTCCCATAGATTGGGATCCTTGGCGCGTAAACTGAGCTGTTGTCTTTATAGCTATTAACGGGATTGTTACCATGTACCTTGTTTTTTAAGGCGCTTTGCAGACGACGGGGCGGGGCGGGCCGGTCAATTTCGCCGCGAACGATAGCACAAAGTGAATCCTATATTACAAACGCACACAGGGGGCAAAAAGACCGCGCCGCAGGTGCCCGGCGGTCACTGGCGGCGCGGCATATCCGCGGCTGCCCGCCGTGGATCATACAAACCAGTTTATATGCAGTAACGCAAACGGCGGCGCGGGGCGGTTAGCTCAGTCCGCGCCACGCGCTTTTTAGTGATGGACTATTCACTAGAACGAACGTCCTGAACTGACTGCCTCTGCCCGTCGTGTGCTATGAGTACGCGGCGCGGGCAGCCGCAGACATCGACGGGCAGACGCGGTTTTTATTGCTTCACGGACAAAATGCCCGCCCCGCCCCTTCGTCTGCAAAACGCTTCGAGTCTCCGATATTTCGGCACTGTTGCAAGCGCCATGATCACGGAGTAACTGAAGTAATTGCGGCTAGGTGTTATTGGCAGACATATCGGTCTACCCTCTGACGTCGTCTTTTACTGCGCTCGATAACCCTACCATTGGTCACATTCTCACTATTCACTCGCACCTGTTCCCGACACACAATACTCACAGGGACACAATCAAAAGGGTACATAGTAACAATCCCGTTAATAGCTATAATGTTAGTGTACATGAAAGTTTCAAACAATATATGAGCAGTTGTCTCTCGACGTCGTGTCTTAGGACGTCCTTAGGCACGATAGAGTGACGATTTGCACAAGGTGGCTAGCAGGAGCTGGATGCGAGCAGCACAAGATCGATCTGAGTGGCGTGCAATTGGAGAGGCCTATGTCCTGTTGAG